CTCACTATCAATACCAATAAAAAGTTCGGCCGATGCCATGTTGTATCAATAAAAAAAAAAAAAAAAAAAAAAAAAAATATTTATCCAAAGTTGTATTCTGTTTGAAAAATATCATTATATAATATATATTGTATTATTTATATATTATATAAAGTAGTATAAGTTATACTTTATTATATAGTATTAATAGAAGAAGTTTGAGTTTAATATATATTGAATTGTTATTAGTAAGAAAATTAAAGTTAGATTTTAGATATAATAAGTTAGCTGCAATACTATATATTAGAAGTTTGATATTAATAGTAAATTTTAAGTAGTTTATAGCAATAAATATTTGTTACTAAAGAGGCTATATATATTTTTTTAGTTTGTATTAAGAATTATATTCAAATTTTTAGTAGAGTATATTAAATATAGTTATAAAAGATTTGTAGATCAATAGTATTATAGTTATGCTTCTAAGTTCTAATTATAAAGTTACTAGTTCAAGTTATATTAGAAGACAAAAATAATATTAAGATTATAATTAAAGATTAGTTATATAAGAATACTACTAATAAATAAGAATACTTCTGGTAAAATTCTAGTTGAATTCAAGAATACTTTAGCAAAAAGATACTTCTAATAAAATTCTATTCAATTTTAGAATATCTTCAATTGAATTAGAATATTAATATACTATAAATATTAATATAGTATATTATTAGTAAAAACTTATATAGTTTTTAAATATAGTTATTTATTCAAACTCTTTCTAATGATCACTTTTACTAAAAAATTTTATAAAAATAAATGCAACTTTTTATATTAAAAATTTTTTATTTTAAGTAAGATTTGTTACCAATTTTATCATAGAGGTCTTATCTAGTCAAAAAATAGATGTCTGAATATTCATTTGTTCAATTATTTATTATTCAAATATTCATTGAAAAATCTGAATAAATATTCAAATATCTGATAAATATTCATTGAATACTGATTGACATGTGATCAAATATTTATTTGATCAATGATTGGCCAAAAAAATAATTGACATTTTATAAATATCAAAATTTGATTGGTTAAAACTAAAGATTAACCTCATGTTATTTCACGATACCCTTTTATATTTTTTATATCTAACACTTTATAACTTGCTTACATGAAGTTAAAAACTTTTAATTGAAAAAACTGTAGATTTTTATTAGCTGTTTTATTTTAAAATGCCAAAAATTCAATATAATTTCTTTGGTTATATACTGGCATTGTCAGAATTGCTTCTAGTAAAAGTTGGCAGAAAACTTGATCTCACTTGATCTCAAACATTTTTATAAAAGCTATATTTCTAAAAAACAATCTAGTGAAATTTTAAATAACCTTAATTATAAAAAAATTTCAATTTGTTCCAATTTGATATATGGGTGACTGTTCTCATTACACAAATTATAAAAATCTCTGAAGAGATAATAACTAATCAAAATCGTGAATTTTTGAAATAAAAAAATTGAAAAAATATATTGAAAATGAAGTGAAATAAAATTAATTAAAGACTATACATTAGAGTTCATAATAAATGCCCTAAACCCGGTCACAGTAGATAAGTATTTTCATTTATTTACTAATTCATTTGTCTATTTATTAACTAATTAACTAATTCTTAACTATCATTAATAAAAATTTAATAACCTTTGATACGATAAAGCTCTATATCTAATCTAAAACCTAGCACTAAGTATTTTACTGTATGTGATCTTTACAATGCAATAATTATTTTATTAATGAAAATATTTACGACCTGGTATAGTACAATATATATATATAATATCTCTAAAGATAAAAAAAAATTATATTATTAGTTAAGCTACCAAACATGTATAATAATATTAAAATAAACTGATATATTTGATATGTTATCTTTGCTAAATCATTACCTGTAATATCTCACTTTTTTTTTTGTCTGACGAGTAGAATTTAGTTAGCATAGTAGTTTATATACTTTCAATAGAATGTTCTTAATAGTAACTTTATTAGATAATAGCTATACAAGAATGTGGGGATTAAATAAATATATTGTAGGGCACTTCGAATACTTCAAGTTTACTTTGCAGATTTCTTTGAGTTTCATAATAGGAGTAAGTTATACAAGCTTTCTAAAAAAGTATAAAAAAAAATCTTTATCAATTGTATAACAATCTACAAATTGATAAGAAAATAAACAACTAATAAAAACCAATATTTATCATGCTTGATTGACTGAATATTTAATGAATATTTTTTGTAGCTTATTTTCATTGAATATTTATTTAATCAATGATTATTCAATGAATATTTTTTGTTGGCTTAGGTTAGAACAAGAACTCTTCGACCCTATCATTATAACATTTATTAACCTCTTAATAAAACTTATTTGCTATTACAATTATATATATTTTAATATTTATAGAATGGAATCAAAGCTACTAAGACAATACTAGCACAAATTTCTTATAGAGCTAAATATGCATTTGCAGATGACTTAACTATTTAACTTTTAAGTATAAATTTTAATTTAAATTTATTTTCTTTAATATATATATTATATTTCTAATATGTAAATATTCTATTTCAAAAATGTTACTACTAAAATTGTAGTATAAGTTTTTTATATTTAATGTTTTTTGAATCTGGTGAAAGCTCTATACGCAAAAAGAGTTACTTAATATAGTAATAATTAGATTATAAAGATACATAATATTTATTTAGTATAAATTTTATCGAGTTCACTATTATTGCATTTTAAAAACAATATGCGTTCAAATAATTTAGGCTTTAATATCATTCTTCTAATAGTCATCATATTACTTGTATCACTGAAAAGTCATTCACTTGGAGTTGAAGTTGCAGGTATCATGAGATATTGCCTTGCAAGCTTGTTAAGAACAGGAAAAATGTTTTTTGGGAATTCCACTAGTTAAAAGGGTCAGATTTAAAATAGATTTCAGGTAAAGAAAGGTAATTATCAAGCTCATCATTTAACTCTTCAGAAGTATCTTGCATAAAAACTATCCTAAAAAATGATTTTTGATAAATTTGATATTGCTCTTCTTGTTTGTCTTGATCTTCACGAGAGCTAAAAGATTTATTAGATGATGTTGAGGCTTTATGAAGAGATTTAATCTCATTATATTTATTGCAAAGAGCAGTCTTAGCTTGGTATCTCTGAGTTGGTGCTGCAAACTTTAATTTTTTACATCTCAGATCAAGGAGGCAAACAAGAAACGTATCACTATCAGATAAGTCCTAATAATGTAAAAGCATACTGTATAGTGTGTTTTTAATCTTATACTTCATATTTTTAGTATTTGTAGGTGTATTTATATTAATCTTTCTTTTTTTAGAGCCTTTATCTTCCTCTTCCTCTGCATCAATGAATCCAATGTTATCATCAAATACTAGGTCATCTGTTTCAAAATTTACTTCATTTAATTCATCATCAGTATAACTTTCAGAAATAGTTAGACTTCTCATTAATCTCCAAATAGATAGAAGTATATAAGAAATTGTAATATATTCAGAACCACCAAGCTTCTCTGTAGTTTCAAAGAACAGTCCTAAGATATTAACAAGATCTCTTATTAAATCCCATTCATCATTAGTTAATTGAATTTCTTTTAATCTCTTTGCATCTTTTCAGTCTTCTGGTGTGTTTGAGACAGTCAATGTTGTTACAACAATATCGATTGCATCCTTAATTAGTAAAAGGCATTCCCAAGCTAAAAAAGATGAATTCTAATGAATTGGTACATCTATTTTTATATGAAGATACGTGGAAGTTTTTTTTAACTACCTATTAAGAAAATAATAATAATAATAATAATAATAATAATAATAATAATTTAGTTATTTTATATTTATACAAATAATTAACAAATTATATTACATTATTATCTGAAACTTTTAATATTTTTTAAGCTTTTTTGAGTTGTTCATTTTGCTTCAGAGCTATAAAGAAATTAATTAGTTGTTTAGCCCTTACTACAAATGTTTCAGCTAGTATTAGGCCTTTTCTAACAACAATTGTATAGTATAAGCCACATACAGAATTCTCATAACATTAGCTATTCAGTTAATTGCTGCCTTCATATTTGATCCGTTATCAGTTATGATCGAATGTATTTTTCCTGTAAGACCCCAATCAGCAATTATACTTTCTAACTTTTCTTGAATAATATTAGCAGTATGTAGATATCTAATATAGGATAAGAAAAGCAGTATTTTATAGATTTTGAATTTAGGATTAATCTACAAACAGATGACACTAAGATACCCTTGCTTGTTGCAACCTATTCATAGGTCTGTAGTAAATAAGCAAGTTGTGGCAGTATTTTGTGATCTTTTCTACATATTTTGGGCACACTTATCATACATTTTATGAATTGTTTTTTTACACTTTTTTCGTTTAGCATATTAAATATTGGATCTAATTCCTTCACGAACTCACAAAAAAATTGGCTTGACACAAGACTAATCAGTTAGGTACTGCAGATAATAAATTTAATAAGAGTTATAGTGAGCTTATCATTTATCCATTTGTTATAGGGATATGCATTCTTTATGAATAAGTCAATTTTAGTTTGTATAAGCTATGTGAAATAATAAATAAAATTAGATGTTAAATTTTTACTTTAATTATTAATTTAATTATTTATTACTTTGCTATTGTTACTGTCTGATAATCTAGGTCTATTCTTTGTAATACCATGAGCATTTAAGAGGTAGATTATTAAATTTGATGTTAAGTCACTTGAAGTTTTTAATCAAATGTTACAATATTCTTTATTTGAATCATTTAATACTTCACAAATGGCATATGTGACTTCAATATAACTTTTTGTTTATCAAGATTTTAAATAGATTCTAACATTTTTTTTTCTTCAAAGTAGCTTCATACCCAGCTTCATTTTTTTGAGCTACTCCTTCGACTAACCTTAGTTTTTTTGATAGCAGACATATTAGAGGTTTTATTATCACTTTTTACACTTGTGCTTCTAGTTTCAGAGTCTAGGCTATTTGATCTTGTAATGAGATTTGCAAATAATTCAAATTCCTCTATTATATATTACTAATAGCGATTTTTGGTTTAATTAATCAAGAGCTTTACAAAATATCAGAATAAAATGAGTTAAAGTTATATTTCAAAGATAGGTACTAGATTTCTTTATTAACTTCAAATTCTTTGGTTTTTATATTTCTGAATTTTACTATTACTGATAATTAATATTTTTTTTTTTTTTTTTTTTTTTGCTATCTTTCCTATTATTTTTTTTAGGGAAAGGTTACATTTTCTACAAAGTAAATTACTATCTAAAGTATAA